CAAACAAACAAACAAGGACAGATGTACAATTCAACAGCAAATACAAGTCAACAAGAGCTGGAGCATCAAACACGGACAACAACAGACAAGACGATCTGCGTCAGTCTCTCGAGAGAGAGTCTTATATAGAGAGCTGGTGAACGCTGCGTCAGTCTCTCTCTCTCGAGAGAGTCTTATATAGAGAGCTGGTGATCAGCTGCAGCTGGTGATCAGCTGCAGCTGGTGAGACCAGGTGGAGACGATGAAGCTGATGATCGAGAGGCAGCAGCGGCTGAAGAAGATGATGATGACGGTGATTAACGACATTTCAGTGTTGTAGGAATTACAGTTTGGATTCAAATGTAGACTTTAAATGGTTGTTTTCACATGTGTAAAAGTTTGGGAACCACTGCCCTAAAGAACGTCAGTACGAACCAGAACACAAGGGGTGATTTTTGACCAACCAGCTGGAGGTAGATGTCAGGAAAGGTTTCAGGGAGAAATCCTTGTTTATAAATACCAAAGGTGGAAACCACTGCTGAATGTGGAAATGAAAGCTGTAATGTCACTGCTGTTAACCAAGCACTGACAGATGAAGAATCACAGATGTTGCTAAATAACAATAACATTTTTTTTTATTTCTTATCTTTGTACAGGAAATCAACAAAGTCAGAGAGGCCCAGTAATACAGAGGACACAGACCTGTGTTTCAGCGAGGGTGATTCTCCCCCGACTAAGACTCAGTCTTCATTGTCTTTATTTAAACACCTGGGAAATAAAACGTGTCAAATGTGTGCGACAGGTTCAGATGCGTGGATAAAAAAGTTCAATATCTAGAAAAGGAAATGACCAACACCCGCCGTGTGTCGCTGTACCTGATGATGACAGACACAGTACCAGTAGTTCAGGAGAGCCGTCTGTTTGTAGAGACATTTGACAAAATGTTAAAATCTAAATCACTGAGCGTTTAACAGGTGTATTTAAACACGGCTCTGAGGTGAGAAATCGTCTGTGTACGTATTATATACTACAGTATTTACATGTACTGTGTGTGTGTGTATGGACTCAATAAAAACATTGAGAACAAAGATCAACGACTCAGGTTCATTTTATTTGTTTTTTTTCACCAACTGATAGATTAATCAATCTGAACCAAAGATAAATCAAAGATCGAACCCCTGAAAATCACAACAATTACATTCATTCATTTTAGCTCTAACTGTTAAGAACTGATTCAAATTCCTCAGTAACTAACACGAAAACAAAACGCCGTACTAACATTTACAACCTCACAGGTTTTCAACTGCATTAAGACACATCACCATTTGACCAGCCGAGAAAAACTAAAACAGTTTTTTATTTTTTATTTTCTAAAAGCAGAACGAGGGATTTGACCAGCTGAGAAAAACTAAAACAGTTTTTTTCTTTTTTTTCTAAAAGCAGAACGAGGCTCGGGTGAAAAGTCCTGGTCACGAGGCTGCGATTTTAGCTTCACTGGAAGAACGGAGGCTGAATCTTGGTGCGAACCACCTCCCGTTTTTCCTCCTTCTGTTTGAGGTATTCTTTAAGCTTATCTGTGGAAAAGCACACCTTGGAGAGTCGGGCCCTGAGTGGGCCGCGGTGGGCCCGCAGCCATGTGTTCTGTAGACATTCTGCTGCGGTGGGTCTGGCCCTACAACATTATTACATCGTTATTAACATGTTTGACATGGGACTAGCCTCGTGCAGACAACGTGGTCACACACACACACACTGACCAGGACTTGTTGTTCAGGCTGCTCTTCATGAAGTTCAGGGCGCCCTCCGACAGACCGGGGTAACAACGTCCAAACTGGATCTTTCCTTTCTTGATGTTTTTGTCCTGGTCCAAACTGTTCTCCGCGTGGAACGGACTGTCAGCGCTCAGCCTAATGAGTCGGAATTATATATATATGTTGGTTGGATAATAAATAAAAAAATATATAAAAAAACACACATACATTGTTATTATGCATTATTAAGAGATAGGATAATAGAATAAAGTATAAATACTGCAGTAGTATCTATAGTAATACTAACGTTGTATTCGTCAAAAACATAAAATATAATATAATAATTCTTCAGTCAATTCTTTAAACATATAAGCTCACATACTGATGATGTCAATCTCGCAAGCACAGAGTCAGAGCGCGCCCTGCTGGACAAAAGTTAAACTACACCTGAACCAAAATAAATAATGCTCCATAATGATATTCCTTAGAACTCAAACCCCAAATCTTTTTTGTGGGTTAAAAATTTTTTTTTTGAAGGAGAAGGAGATTTTAAACAAACTAAACTTTAAAACTTTAATATTTTTATTTACTTACATGATGAAAGACAGAACTCCAACAGCCAAATCTTTTTTGTGGGTTAAAAATTTTTTTTTTGAAGGAGAAGGAGATTTTAAACAAACTAAACCACTAATTCAACTTTAATATTTTTATTTACTCACATGATGAAAGACAGAACTCCAACAGCCCAAACATCAGTCTCTGGTCCAACACCGTTCCCCTCGAGGATCTCAGGAGCCTTAGGGAGAACTTAGGTAATGGGCGCTAGGATCAGCTGAGTTATTTCCTTCCATCAACCCTCCTTCCTTAAAGAGTGTGTACCTTTGCTGCGACAGTCTGTTGAGGCCAGGACAGTCAAAGTGTTAGGACATTAGTCAAAAACAACACTCGGTTTAATGTCTTAGATAATTCACTCTGTACTTTCATATCAACCGGTCCAAAAGTACCTTTGCTTTCCATGAGGCCCTCGATCAACCCTCCTTCCTTAAAGAGTGTGTACCTTTGCTTTCCATGAGGCCCTCGATGTGCTCGATGTTGAGCGGCTGCCCGGGTGAGAAAGACTGAGCCGAACCCAAGTCCACGATCTTCAGGTGGTCGCAGTCGTCCACCAGCATGTTGTCGGACTTCAGGTCCAGGTGAACGACTCGGCGGCTGTGGAGGTAGTCGACGGCGCTCAGGATCTGGAACAGCAGCTCAGCAACGTGACCCTCCGTGTACAGGTCCCTGGAAGGGCAGCACGGCGGTCAGTAGATAGAACCTTGTTAATCCCTACAGGAAATCAACGATCAAGTTTTCCTACAGTGTGTCGGAGGTTTACATGAAGGGTTTATAAAGACCCTGCTTCAAAAACTTTGAATTATTTAGTGATATAAATGCTAAAGTTGAAGTTATAACACTGTAATTCCTGCACAGCAGTCCCAAAACAGTTCAGTGGAAAACAAAAAAAATGATAGAACATGTGATCACACAGTCAGACCAAATAAAAAAACAAAGTTGACAAACGTTTTTCTCTCCTCCTTTACCTCAGGGCCAGGCTGTAGAGCAGCTCTTTCCCAGGACAGAGCTCCTCCACCAACACCATGTAGTCGGTGGTTATGAACGCAGTGTGCAGTTGGACCAGGTGAGGGTGATGAAGCCGTTTCAGCAGCTGGTACTCACTCAGCACCAGCTGTCTCTGCTGTGGCTGGTACGGCGTGATCTTGGCAGCGAACACTTGGCTGGTCTCCACGTTCCTACAAAGGGTTATTACACTGAAGCGACCCCTGAAAGAGGTCAGATGACACGGTGAGGCGGCGGGGACGACAAAACAAAACATTTCTTCATCGAATCCAAGATCAAGATGGTTAAAAACTGGTCGTCAATTATGACAAATGTTCAAATGTTCACCGAAAAACAACAGCCAGAAATGTTAAGGATGTTCATCGTTAGGGACATTATTCATTATTTTGTCCAGAATCTGGCAAAAAATAACTTCTGGAACCAAAAGCAGAAAATATTTTTGGGGACTTTTTGAAATATTGTTTTTTTTAGAAGTTTTTTTTAGAAGTCCAGACGAAATAACAACCAGAAATGACATCAATTCTAGCTGTGGTTTTCCAAAAAGTTGACTACTGTCATCATGACCAACGATTCTCTTCTCTGACCTGTTGATCTCTGAGAGGAAGTTGTAGCTCTTATGTGGGGGCTGTTCTTCTGACCCGGTGCCCTTTGACCTTAAGGACTCAGTGTGGATGAGCGACATGTGAGAATCTGTAGCAAAAAATGAATAAATATTAAGAAATATATCCTGATGACGACGACCTGTGGAATTTTCCGTACCTCCAGTTTGAGTTGCCGTGACAAACGGTGCTGAAGCGTCGCTGAAAGGCCCGGCTCCCGTCCTGCTGATGCAACCGACCCTGAACACGTAAGACGCTCCTGGGGGTAAGTCCTTGACTATGTAACAGCTGTCAGTCAGCTCCTCTGACACGACGGTCCAGTCGCCACCTGCAGGTGAACACCAGCGTCACTGAACAGACTTTGTATATTTTATTTAATAAAATTTGTCTTTTTGCAAAAACAAAATTAGTATTAATTAATATGGCAGGTTGATCACACCGTCTGTACAGTACTGCAAACAGTATGTGACAGGGTCACTAGACTTGACCGGTCTCCAGACCACCAGGAGTCCACCTCCATCCAGCTGGAGCACGTCTGGTTTGTTGGGACGGACATGAAGATCTGGAAGTAGATGAAAAAAGCCAAGTGAAATTAACAGAAAGAAAATATAACAGAGATTATTTAATGATAATAAAAAAAGAAGATAATAATTCACCAGCTTTTGTCTTTTTGAATCCATGTATTTTGAAAGAAGGCAGAATTTTGGAAGTTCTCTTTTTGGGACTCTGGAGTCCTGTTTGAAGATCTGAGATCTGAGCCGATGGTTTTACTATTGGCCCTGTTTTTATAAAAAATATTTAAAAAAAGATCAAAAATGTTGTTTTGGTGAAAAGATATGAACGAGTCAAGTTTGACCCGATGACTTACCTTTACTCACATCCTCCCTGCTGGACGATCTGGAGAACAGCTTGGTCAGACTGGAGGCCGACGCTCGGATTTTCTTCCTCAGAGACAGGCTAGGTGAGTCCGACTTCATGATCTCCCCTAACGTTGGTCCCAGTTCTGTGTTCTCCAACTGGGAGTATGACTGTCCAGTCCACGACTGTCTGCGGAAGATCTTCATCAGTCCCAGCTTGGGTGATTTTCCTGCTAGCAGCTTGACCTCCAGAGCTGGGGCGGAGGCGTGTCTCTGGAGACCGTGACCTTCCTTCTTGTCCCCGGCCCTCAGGGGTCGTTCTGGGGCCTGGAGAGAAGAGAGGCTGGGACTGGGACTGGGCGTTTGTGAGGGGCCTGGTTGAATTCTGCTGGGTGCAGATAAGTTGGGGTTGGAGCGGGTACGATTTCTAGGTGGTGCTTGTGGAAATGAGCCTCTGGATTTGATTTCTTGAAATGAGCAGGGAGAAGATGGAATCAGAGTCTCCTGACGATCATCTTCACTCACCTCCGATCTGTATCTGCCCCTGTACGACCCCCGACTCAGCTCCTCACAGGAGCCCAGTCGACTGGAAGAGTCTGAGCCGTCGTGTTCTAAAATATAAGATTCAGCCAGAGACCCCTGAGAGCCCACGAATGTCTCTCCCTGCGGGGTCTCCTCCTGGTCCACAGGACAGCTCATCCTGTTTCCAGCCAAAAAGTTCGATAGAACAAACGTTCCACCTGGAGTGTGAGGAGTGGAGGAGTCTCTTCTCCTCGTCAGTCTCCGAGGACTCGGGATCGCCAGAAAGTTTCCTTTTGCTACTTCACCATCTGTGAAATCTTCCTTAAGACTTTGAGCACCTTCTTCTACAGCCGCCGTCCTTCTCACGGGTGAAGGAGACCTCCGTGAATACCCATCGAGGGACCTGCTCCTCCTGTGAGGGGGTAAGTTCATATGGGCAAGACCGACTCCGCTGTCGAAGGAACACGACTTCTGTATGGAAGGCTGGACAGATCCTCGTCTCTGACCACGGATGGTCTCGGTTTCATCCTCCACATATTCAATAAGAGGCTCGTTGAGGCGACCTGAGAGGCTTCGCCTCAGCGGTTTACGACCTCTCTCCTGTTTCTTGGCCTGGAACTTGTCTCGTAGTGTCATGTGTCTGGCAGACAGAGGGGAAAGCTGATGAGAAGTGTTGTAAAAAGTGCTCCTGATGACACTGCCGCGAGGGATAAGACCTCCGTCGCTTCCAGACCCCTCGTCAAAGTCAGACATGCAGAGGGAGGGAGTGCTGCCTTTGCTGAACCTCCTCTCCCTCTGAGGCGTCTGTTGGCCCGACTCGTCTGAAGACACGACGGACTGCCTGCTCGTGCTGCGCTCGATCAACGTCCTCCTTCTCTCTACAATCAGTCCGTCCTCTTCCTCCCCCAGTGTCACATCGTCTTCATCCTCTGCACCGAGAGGGTGGAGTTTGGCGAAAGGCGCGGGGATCTGAGCTCTCTCCATCAAGGGGTCATACTCCTCCTCGGTTTCCTCCTCTTCCTCCTCTTCAGTCGGGCTGTAGTGTTGGAAGAAGTCCCAGGAGTCGGCCTCGTCGTACTCAGACGACGAGCTGCTGCTGGGCGACGTGCTGCTGTGTTCGTGGAGTTCTCGAGGAACTGTCACCGCTGTCTCTCTGAGCGGAGCGTCCAGCAGCTCAGGGATTGGCCGCAGCATCAACACTGACCCAATGCAGGTCAAAGAACGCTGGGCGGTTTAAGAAGGGTCGGGTTTTATCGTAGGTTTGTTCGTAGGTATAACTCAAAATGACCACGGTGAGAAAGCACTTACCTGCCATTTTCTTTTTGAGATCACCTCATCAAAATGACCACGGTGAGAGAGACCACTTACCTGCCATTTTCTTTTTGAGATAATACCTTTCAAATTCCTTGTGTTTATTTCATCAGTATCTTCTCCTGCGTTTTCATCCTACACACATTTGAGTAAATGTGTTATACTTTGATTTTGATTTGAAAATATATGACACACCTCTTTTGTCTTCTTCTCCTCACCTGGAACCAGTCGTGACTCAAGCACTCGAAGGCAGACGGTCGCTTTCTAAGATGAGAAAAATAATAATTAAAAAAGAAAGCTCAGTAGAGAGATGATGTTCAAAGTAGGTGACAAGAACAGGGTTTCTGTTACTCGGGGTCAGTCTGGAGGACCAAATGGAGGAAGTTCTGGGCCTCAGGGCTTCTTTTCGTCACATCAGGAGCGTCCCAGTTTAGGGTTCCCTCCCCGACTCTCAGCAGCGTGGCGCGGTCCGTGTCCCCGGAAAATGGGCACCGACAAACCAGGCTGTGAATATAAAACCCAATGTGAACAACTAGATATGAGCGACTAAACCGTGTATTTAAATACTTTGGAAATATTTCTGATTGTAAAGATCAAAAAATAAAGTCTTACCAGAGGAAAGCCATAACACCCACAGCCCTGAACAGAGAAAAAAAAACAACTTAAAAAGTTCTTCAACAACCACATAAATGTACACATTTTGCAACAATTGAAATGACTGACCAAATATCAGTCACCACAGTGACTGGCTCCTGGTGAACAACCTCTGGGGCGGTGAACTCTGGTGTACCAAACAGGCTGTACTGGTGTCTGGATGTGTCTATTTCTTGGCAAAAACCAAAGTCACAGATCTTGATTTCATCTCGGGGCGGATACACCATCAGGATGTTCTCAGGCTGAAGAAGATAAGAACAGAATTAAGTTTGAAAAATTTGCAACAATTGCAACAATCCATAGTAAAAGGTAAAACCCACTTTAATGTCCAGGTGCATGATGTTCATGCTGTGAATGTGACCAACTCCCTCCAGGATTTGCTGGATGAATGACTGCACCTGCGATCAAACATGGAATATAATCCTCCAACCACGAGTAAAAGATGTGAACACTGTTTTGTGGAGAACACGTCGGAGCTTCTACCTCTTTCTCTGACACTGATCCTTTGAGCAACAAATGGTCCAGAAGTCCATGAGAACAGCAGCTGGACACAGGAGTAAAGATCTGAACCGTGACTCAAATGTAGTTCGGCTGTAATCACACCCCGGCATTTAACAACAAAGGATACATTTCCGTGATCAGCACCAGAGTGCGTCTGGTGCAGAAGAAGTCCAGCAGACAGGCCACCCTGGGGTGAGCCAGTCGGGACAGAAGGTCTCTCTCCTGGAAGGCCCTGGTGCGAGTGCTGCTCTGTAGAGGCAGGAACTTGGCAGCGAAGACTTCATTAGTTCTTCTGTGGACGACGCGCTTCACGACACCAAATGCTCCCCTGAGAAAACACAGATCATTCCAGATGACTGGGTCCGATTCAGGTTCACGAACCCTGGTACTGATGCTGCACGTGAGACCAGGTGACCTGAAGTTAAACTTTGAATTGATGAGGGTTGGACAGGTTAACCGAGAAGACATCAAGGGCTGGTTGTAAATGGTATAGACTGTATGGATGTAACTACTACATAACATAATAATAAATGTTTCTGCCACTGATTATAATTTATATATATAAGTTACAAATATTGTTCATTGCTGTGTGTTTTAAAACCTCAAATTTTAAATTTTTAAGCTCCTACGGGCCGTACAAAGTGACTTGGCTGTGCCAAAATAGGCCCCCGGGCCTTGGGTTTGACACATGTGGTCTAGATAATTTATTAACCACCATGAAGGGTCCAAGGAGAGGGTGTGAGCTTTGAGATGTGCTCAGACAACGACTACAGAATCAGTGTGATGCTGCCGTTCACCTTCCGATTTCTTCATGAATATCGTAAACTGTGAATAACTTCCTCCTCTTGCCAAGCTCCACCTCCCTCTCCTGGTACTCCAGTGGGCCTACGGAGAATATATGCAGATAATACTCGTTCACTACAGAGTCCTCAGAGTAGTACTGCAGTACAGCTAGACGTGTTGTCTCACCTTCTTCAACTACGAGCTGAGCCTGGCAGCAGACGTGGCCTGAGGTATTGAAGGCCAGACAGGTGTATGTTCCACTGTCCTCACCCTCGGAGCTCAGTATGGTCAGCGAGCAGCGAGCACCCTGCTGGACCATCTCCATATTACCATCAGGTTCAAGCTCATCTTCATCCTTCAAAACATGAAATAAAAGTCCATCTTCATTAGGATTAAAAACGATCAAAACAATCAGCTCTAATCCAAACACCAAATAAAAACGTTTTATTTCTAGCTCGTACCTTGAACCACTGTATGTTCGGAGCAGGTCGGCCGGTGATGACGGCGGTGAATGTTGCTGCTTGGCCCGGCTGCACGTAAAGGTCTTCAATGGGGACTTGGATGGAGGGAGGAGCTAAAAAGACAAATTGGATGATTTGACAAAAATATATATATTAAAATAATGTATAATATATTCATAATCTTTGCCTTTGTTAAGACAAAAGTACCATCCATTAGTTCCTGCATCGGTTCTGAGGTGTAAATCTCCTCCTCCACTTCTTCCAGGTAGGTCGGAGGTGATGGCACCATCTGACCCACGGACTCTGTGGTAGGTACAGTTGTCTCGGTGCTGGACGGTGCTCTGGATGAAAGGGAGCAACAAATATTCACTCTATTTTGAACAAAATAACTATATTATTCAGTAATAATTACATGAAGCTAATGTAAAGAGCTCACACAAAATAATTCTCTTGTGCTGGGTTTATCTTACCGTGTTTTTATGTTTACCACGTTGGGAGGATCACAAGCAGCTTCTTCTATTATGAAGTTTGAAATGTGTTTTTTTTGTGTGTGTCTTGAAAAACATTTTCAACGTGAACTTACTGGTCACTGTGTCCAGTTGGGAACAGCATCTTGGCAAGAGAAGTGGGGCTGAAATCCGTCTGTAACCACTGCTTTACAAAGGTAGTGGACCAGCCCTCTGAGTCTGAGTCTACCAAAACAACACAAATCTATCACTACAATCTTACATATATTTATAATGCTATTTTAATAACAAAAAACTGAAATATTGAATAATAACAAAGGGAAAATTCGCTGCTTTACCTTATTTACCGTATGTAAAATATAAGTACATTTCTTACCTGTAGACTCTTGGGTTTAACCCACTTACTGTGGGCATCAGCCCACACCTGCACTTGACCCTCGTGTGTTCAGAGAAGTGAACAGTTAGCTGGAGCATGCGTTGACAAGAAGGGAACAAGGTAATGCTGAGAGGTTATTGGTTATTGTGACAAGGATGACTTGAATGGAACGGTCCATGTGAGGAACTCCCTCCTTCAGAACTGGCAGAGGGGAAATATGAAGAATATGTAGGTTACGCACATGGAATGACAAACATGATGATCTGGTTTTCAAGTGAAAAAGTTTGAGTTTGACTGTGTGAAAATACAATGTTTATAGTTTTTACAAAATTAGTTTTGTAATTACCTTGTCTTAACATAATGACGAAGGCCTTCAAATCACAACACAATATAAGAAAGTTACTACAAGTTAAACTACAATACACTACAATAGTTTAGACCCAAACTCTACTATTGAGCAATAATGATACACAAAAGAATAAAACAAAAAATACTAAAATATAGAGCGACATGTAACAATGAATTTCATGGATGATGAGAAATGGTGAAAAAAATAAATGTGTGTGTGTTTGAGTAATTTTAAGTACTTTTTTACTCTTTACTCTACTTTTTACTTCCACTTGAGTAATATTACTCTGAAGTAACAGTACTTTTACTTGAGTACAATTTTTTTGCCTACTCTACCCACCTCTGCTCTTTATACACGTCACTGTAAACTGATTTATTTTCAAGGACTAAAAAGCTGAATTCAAATGCCACAAACAGTCGGGATCTGATGATCACTGGTTGGTGGTAAAGTTCCAAACAACGTGAGTGTGTGAAATGGGTGAAACCGAGGAAAGAAGATGTGAGTCTCAAGTTTCAAAAATGAGGTAAACTTGAACCGATGTTTGAAGGAGTGTCACATGACGTGATGTGAAAAGATGAAGGTTTCAAAGTGAAAAGTAGACAATGACATGTGACATGTGACATGTGACATGTGACATGTGCCTCGTCCCCTTTCAGTCTGATGAATTAGTGAAGTGTGGTTGAAATACGTGGTTTTCATTTCGTCTGCAGGGTATTTACCTTCAGCGGCTCGTCGACTCCTACCTTTAGGTGGTAAGTCCTGAGGTTGGTCCGTCTCGACATCGGTCGGTGGTACATAAGCGGGGCAAAGACCTGCCCTGCACTTGATGCAGCCAAACTCGTTTGAAAGCTAGGAAAAAAAACATTAATTTGACCAAATCTTTGACGGAAAAGTATATAACGCTGAAGATGCGTGGTTTCTTACCTCGCACTCGTACTGTCCAATATCTGCCGCGGTCGCTCTGATGACTGTCAGACTCAGGATTCCACTTCGAGAATCATTCTGGATTAAATACTTCTGTTGGTCGGTCAGTTCTTTCCCATCCTTCAACCACCTTCAAACCAGAGACGTGTCTTAGATCAGTGTTTCCCAAACTTTTTTTTCTGGGGACCCATATTTTAAAAGTCACAAACCCAAGTCAACAGACATTATTCGTAAACTTCTGGGAAACATGATGCGAGACGACCCAAAAAAAAAATCTCTTGTGACCCACCTGAGAGTTGCGACCCAGTCTTTAGGAAACAATGTCTTAGCTAGACAACAGTTAAAAATACAGCACTGTGGGGGTTAGAAAGTTCTTCTTTATTTCATTACCTGATTTGTGGGAACGGAGTACTGAATGTGGAACATGTGAACTGGAGATCCTCTCCTTCTATCAGACAGGAACTCTCCAGACGACTTACAAACCTGGGTGGAGCTTGAAAAAAAAAAAGGAATGGAACAGCAACCAATAAATGTCAGACAAATGTAGTTTTGTTTTGTGGTTTTGTTGTGGTTTTGTTGGGAGACCTACCTTGCACTATGACCTTAGCCAAAGAACCAGCGCTGCCCACGGAGTTGGTAGCGTAGCAGGTATACTGCCCAGAGTCATCGCAGGTGAGACTGTCCAGGACAAGGCTGTAGGAGCCGGCCCTGTCTGACGTGATGATGTGACGGGGGTCGTCCTCCAGGGGGAGACCGTCTACAGTAACAGGAGGTTTCACAGCAGAAGTTACTATGGCGTAATAACTGATTGTACTGAACTTTCATCTTCATTCTCTGGTCTAACGTCTCCCGTTGGATGTTGGAGCAGAGCGGCTTGAACTCATCCATTTCTGCCCTCTTTGCCCTCCCTAAATATTTCCCTTTTTAATGTCAACAACATTGGGATCTGGAGAGTTCTGTTATCCACAAACTTTAAGGTCTAATCTAATCTAAAGTAAATTCTACCTGGAACCAATCTGTCATTCAAACCACAGACCTAACCACATACACCAGGCAAGTACTGCACCACCCACACATACTTTGCTGCCACTTCAGACTTCCTCATAAAGTGCCACAGTTCCTCCTTTTATTCTTCTGTATGTTTTTGAACTACAAACCTCTCCAGTATGATGATACCAGATATCGATTCATTTTTTTTCTCACCTTTGAACCAGCCAACCACTGGTTTGGGTGACCCCGTGATCTTGCAGGTCAGTTTAATGGTCTGTCCCATTTTTGTGGTGCAGTCACACAACAAGGACTCAAATACAGGTGGACCTGGCAATGCACAAACAGATGAGAGTATTTGTATAAACGCAGTACAAATATTGACTTTTAGTTGTACTTTTTTCTCAACTCTTCTTCACACGTTTACTCACTGTTGACAGGCTGATTAGAGCATTGCTGGAGCTTCTTCAAGTCCTTGATCCAGGGCAGTTTTGCCACAGCGGAGCGACCCTGCAGCGTGTACCTCCTCACTGAACCCCTGTGTTCGTGCCACAACCCCCAAGATCTTTCATCACCTCCAACCATCTCCTTTATTTCCACATCGTTTAGCTTCACGGTAAGTCAAAAGGGAAAAGAGTTTAATGACACATTGAAAACTGTCAACAAGAAAGAGGTCTTTTTTCTTCATCACGGCCACAATTTTCGTGCATTACCTTCATTTTATTCTTGAAGGAGTAGATGGCGCTGTTCATGCGCAGGTCCCTTTTCACTTTACACAGTACAATGCATTCCCTGAAGACAAACACTTGTCTCTGATGCCCTCTGGAGGCTGTCCGCACCTCTGTGGAGTCCTCCCACACTGTGAAGACTCCCTGGGCAAAATAAAACAGTTTAAGTTAAAGTCAGTATAATGTTCTTATGGTATCTAACACCATAACTGTTTGGTTTAATATAAAGTTCATAGTTACCTGTCGCACAGGTTCACCCAGGGCAGTTAGAGGAGCGGGGTAGTTCTCGATTAGCGATACCTGATGCAGATTGTCGGACCTCCAGGGCAGGCAGGAAACCATGGAGAAGGCGTCCTCTAACAGAGAGCAGCTTTGACCACTCTTGGCTTTGTTCTTAATTAACTCCTAAAGGCAGAAAACAAAATTTGTTTACCTAATATTCAGTGTCTTCTTACTCGCTTGACCTCTGGGATCACCTGCAGAAATGGAACCTCGAACTGACCTTCAACAGACCCTGGTAGGTTTGCATCCTCTCCACTGGTCTCTGGAGGAATGTTAGGACGTCCATGACTGGTAGGTCGGACTTACCAGATTGTGATAACTCCTGTGAGGGACATTACAGGACATTTTTTTTATAAACTAATACAGCAACACTGTTTGATGTTAAAATATAAACAGATAAATACTTTGAAATATTGTTGCGTAGCCTTATCAGTGACACAGGCTTCTGCTTGTGCTTGTCCCACGAGGTACGGCAGATACTTGTCAAAATGGTCGCTGTGCCTGAGCAGAAACATGGCCACGTCATCATCCGTGTCACAGCTTCTCAGACCGGGAAGGACGGACCTGAAATGGAGGCAACGTTGGACAGGAATCAGGTAAAGAATCTAATGAATTAAGAATTAGGAAAAACCTAACAATAAATGAATCTCTGATGATACCTCTCGTGCAGAGTGATGACATCCTTGATATTCCTGAAAATGGTCTCCTTCTGGTTGAGGATGTTCATGGGAACGTGGCGACTGGACTCCATTTGATTTAACTGGTGAGAGATGAACGTCTTCATCTCTTTGACAAACTCCTCCTCTCCACTGATGAGGCCTCTGACCAGTTGACTTGGAAGACATTCAGATATGACATAATTAATAGTAGTAATGTCAATTAGACGCAACATGGACAAAAAAAAATCAAGAACTCGACTGAAATAGCTGTCAAAAAAACTTTATTTTTTCAATCTATCTAATCCCATGGATGTGTTAAATTAAAGCAGACAAATTATTAGTTTTGTGTATTTGTGTCTGTAAATGTATAATGACTAATTGAGCTGATTATTTAACTTTAAAACTTTAAAAATATCCACATGACACATAAACATACCTCAAAACTTTCCTGTACTCTTCGACTGTTGAACCAATTCCATCAAGACCATCCTGAGGTGTTCTTACTTGAGGGAACGTCTCCTATTGGAATTATCCATTTATTAAAAAAGTCCTTAGAATTTGAGGGTAAAAAAAAAAACAAGACGATGTCTGTCTGTCTGTGTATTAATCAAAATAAAAAACAACAAAACAAACTGTAGGAAAATGTCCTACTTTTCTCCTCTTCTCCAGATAGGCTGGACACACCCAGCCTTGTCTCGCAGGGTTGGTCTTCGTGGGTTTGGTCCTCACCAGCCAGTTGTCAGGGTGAAATGAGTCCAGGACCTCCACAAACTGCCCCTCCTTGAGGACAAAACTGTCCCTGTTTCCACTGGTGGGGCTGCAGTCTGCCCGAGCCACGTACATCTCAAATGTCTGTGAGTAGAAACACAGGAAGAGTTTATATTTCTGTATATATGAAGTTGATATATGTATATATATTTACTCCATTACATTTACTTGAGTAAGTTTAAAAAATAAATCAGATCTTACTCAACAGTTACTCAGTACTCGAGTACTTTTTTACTCTTACTCAAGTAATTATTTGGATGACTACTTTTTACTTCTATGTACTTGAGTAACTGTTCTAAAGTTACAGTATTTTTACTTGAGTACATTTTTTGCCTACTCTACCCACCGCTGTATATACGTTTAGTTAAAATGAAAAAAAATCAAACCCACCTCCTGACTGTGATCTTCTCCCTCTGATTCGGATCCAGATATTGTACTGGTTAACGGTGTGTGCGAACGATGGTGCTTTGGAGACGGTGTCTTCATTTTGCTCTCATTTGCTGCTGCTGCAAAGATGAGACAAAAACAGCTTTTAGTAAAACATGACGAGGGAAACTGAGGAGCTAGAAAAATGAACATGAAACAAAAAAACCTACTTATTACAGATAGAACTTCTTACCTGTGACCTTTAGAAGTTTCATGTGAGGTTGAGGAGCCACTGTGTCTTCTGCCTTTTCTTTTGAAGGTTGAACTTTGTTTTCTGGCACTGGAAGTTCCCTGTAGCCAATTTTAAAATGACACAAAGAGTTTTATGGGAAACAAACAACAAATGTCATACGGAGAGGAAATAGACCAAGTGAAAGAATTTGCTTTTGGGCTGCGACCTCAGACGAGCTGGAGCTGGTTCATGTTCCAGCACATCTGGAGCGGTGTCATAATCAGAAGGACTGGACACAACTGAGAGAGCAGAAAATCATTGAGTTTTACAAATATGTGGCCAAAAAAAAAGAAAATAGAAGAAAGAAAAATAAAAACTTGTATTTGTTGTTAAGTTTGCTACATTTTCTAAAACATTTGTCATTGTTTTAGACACTCACTGGAGCTGGCAGCTTTAACCGACGACCCTCGTCTCTCCTGTAGATTCGCCGGTGTCTCCTTCTCTGTCAGGTTGTAGGCCTCCCACAGAGAGACATTCAAACTTTCTACATAGTTAGCTTCATCTGTAGCCGGAGGTGAGGTTGGAAGTTGTCCTTGCACGCCCTGCGTCTGTGTATCATTCTCCAGTTCAGGCTTTGGTGGAGCAGGCTGCAGGGGAGTTATGGCTGCGAGCAGCTGAGTCTGCGTATCATTCTCCAGCTCAGGCTTTGGTGGAGCAGGCTGCAGGGGCGTTATGGCTGCGAGCAGCGGGTGCGCAGGTTTGCAGGCCGTGGGTGTTTGCTGCTGAGGCTGGACGACTGTTACGTTACCATTGTAGGAGGATGCACCAAACTTATTCACTGCCTCACAGGTGTAGACTCCAGCGTCGCTGCTCTTCAGGTTCTTAATGACCAGTCTGTAGACTCTGTTCTCTGAGGTCTGAGCCTGGCAGCGGTGGTCGCCGGTGATGGGTGTGCCGTTTTTCAGCCACTGCACGGCACTGGGTTTTCCTTCCACGACACATGTCAGCGTGAGGGTGCCGTGAAGGTCGGCAGTCTGGTTCTTAAACACCTCGGTAAAGACAGGTTTCATTTCTCTGCGGGCTTTGAAGCCTTTGAAGGCAGCCTGGATTTTGACTGCGGCCTGTTCCATTTCTGGTTCGAACTCGGCGCAGACTTCGATTTCTGACTCCTCTTTGGGAGGTGGTGTCTTCTGGAGTTCCTTAGTTGTGAGAACAGGTGGTTTTGGTACCGGCTCAGTAAGAAAACTAGCGTTGTGGTCCACTGGCAGCTCCATTAGAGCCTCTGAGAACGTCTCATCTTCAGAAATGTAAAGAAGCGGAGTGTCTTCTTCTTCCGTCCTTGTTGGTTCTACTGCTGTTTCAACTTCAGGCTCTTTTCTCTTGGGTTTTACTGGTGGTTTAATGGTTTCCGTGTTGATCACATCTGTCTCTGCAGCGTTCACAGAACGCTTTACTTTATCAACTACCACTGACCTTCTCTCTCCCTCCAGGCTTAGGTCGCTCTCTCCCTCCACACGTCTCACTGAATGTTCATTCGGCAGATCTTTTCTTAAACCAATCACATCTTCTCTCAGCAGCTGTCCTTCCACCTGATCGGTGTCTGTTTCTCTCGATAATTGTTTTTCCACTGCTCCTCTGGCTTTGCCTTTTATCCTCGCTGGTACTCTCGGATGGATGTTGGAGTCGTCTCCTCTTTGAGAAGGTTTCTCTTCTTCTTCTGACTTTATGCCCTGGTTATTTACAGACATTTGGTTTAGTGGCATATTTTGTCTTTCTGCCTGTTGGTCTTTGTTAGTGTCTTTAACTGCTGTCTTTGATCCTCGGGGAACAAATTCATAAATTTCATTAGAGGTACGTTGATTTCCATCTACAGATGTTGGTGGGTGAATCAAACGCTCCTCCTCTTTTGCCTTGTTTATATCCAATTCATTTACTCCAGACCTCGTATGTTCTTTTGAACCATTTTCAACAAACTCTTTCTGTGCTACCCCAGGTCCTTTTCTGTCCTCGGTGTTCTTCAACACCTGTGTTCCTGGATACTTGGATTTCTTTTCAGTTAGATCAGTTTGCAGAAGACTTTCCCACATCTGTTGTTCAAACATCTGTCTGTCATCCTTTATTCCTTCTGACTCATTTACTTTAAGGTCTTCGATGACAGTTGTCTCCAGTTTTGTGATTCCTGGTTTTGTCTTTTCCAGGAAACCCTCCTTCTCTGCGTTCTCGGCTCGACCAGGATCTTCAAGCGTTTTCTTCCTTCCATCATCTTCACCTTTCTTGTTCATCTCACTCACTTTCACCCGTGTTTTCTCCCGTTGAGTTTCATTCTGCGCAGCGTTATATTCCTCCTCTTTAGAAATGACGGGTTGTTTTCCGACCTGGTCAGCCTGACCGTTCTTCATTATGATCCTCTTTATATCAATCAACGGCTCCACGTCTTTCTCTGAATTAGTAATAGATGGTTTTCTGTGCACTCTCTTTTTGGGTTCTGGAGGAACGGGCTTGGCTTCTTGTCGGAGCGGCTTCTCATTGTCCGGAGTAGGAGACACGGTGCCTTTTACTCGCGGTAACACCACGGAAGGTTCTGTTTTTAATGGAACACTTTGAAGAGCTGTAAGAAAGAAATCTACGTCATATCCATGATAAAATTACTAGGAAACATTTTGTTTTTCATTTCTCATTTCTCATATTGTAACATGCACAATATCCCACCTTTCACTGTCATAGTTGCAGTTGTCTCTACATTTCCAGTGTGACACGTGTAGCTGCCACTGTCCTCAGGTTTGAGATCCTTTATCTGTAGTTGTTGGATGCAGCCGTCCTGCTTTATCTCATACTTGGCGTTTGCTCTCAATAACAGATTGTTCTTCTTCCACTGCACGGACACCCCGGGTTTGGACAACTCACAAGAAAATGAGGCCGTACCTCCTGCCTCAACCTCTACATCTTGTAATTCCTTCTTATAGAATGGAGAAAGTTCTAAAAACACAGGAAAACAATAAGTGTTTTCAGATAGTGTTTATGTTTCATTTTAACTTCTGAACCTAAAAATAAAAACACACACCTTTAACTGTGACACTGGCAGTGGTTTCTGCAGCGCCCGCTTGACACGTGTAGCTGCCGCTGTCCTCGTATTTGAGCTCCTCGATGAGAAGTTCCTGCAAACATCCATCCTGCCGGATTTGATATTTTTTGCCACCTCTCAGTGGCAATTTGTTCTTCTTCCACTGCACTGACAGACCGGGTTTGGACACCTGACAGGACAGAGACACTGAACCTCCCTCCTCAGCCTCTACACTCTGTAGGTCCTTCTTGAAGAACGGTGGAAGCTCTGAGGAAAGTTCATGGGAAGTTATGTCATTCTATATATCGCTTACATCAGCTGTTTATTTTACAGGATTCTTTTGCAAAAAAACAACACATGTTTACACACCTTTCACTGCCACGGTTGCAGTTGTTTCCAGGTTTCCCGCCTGACACGTGTAGCTGCCGCTGTCCTCAGGTTTGACCTCCTTGATGTACAGCTGGAGGAAGCAGCCATCTTGCTTCACGTCATACTTCCTGTTTGCTCTCAGTGGAACCTTGTTCTTCTTCCACTGCACTGACAGACCGGGTTTGGACAGTTCACAGGTCAGAGAAACCAAACCTCCCTCATCGGCCTCCACATTTGTTAATTTCTTGTGGAAATATGGAGTATTTTCTGGGTAAAGGGTATGAAAAAAAACAAAAAACATTATTTTTAATGACACAAACATCCACCACCTCAACACCGTTGCATTGACATTTCTCTCACCGCCCTTTCACTGCCACACTCGCAGTGGTCTCTGCACTTCCTGCTTGGCACGTGTAGGTGCCGCTGTCCTCAGGTTTGACCTCTTCAATGTACAGCTTCAGTAAACAACCATCCTGCCTCATCTTGTGCCTCCTGCTGGCTCTCAGAGGTAGTGCGTTCTTCTTCCACTGCGCTGACAGACCAGGTTTGGACACCTCACAGGACAGAGAGACCGAACCTCCCTCCTCAGTTTCTACACCTTGTAGGTCCCTCTTGAAGAACGGTGGACTCTCTAAGAACACGTCAGTTAATGTGTGTTGTATAATTCTTTAGCATTTTAATGTTATTTAAAAACTATATGGAACCTCCTACACAGCAACATTAGCGTTAGCAACGCAGCATCGCACATTTACTCACCTTCCACTGTCACCGTCGCAGAGGTTTCCACACTTCCCACTTGACATGTGTAGGTGCCGCCATCCTCAGGTTTGACCTCCTTAATGTTCAACTGGAGAAGACAGCCATCCTGCTTCATCTCGTACTTCCTGTTTGCTCTCAGCGGTACGTTGTTCTTCTTCCACTGCACTGACACTGCAGGTTTGGACAGTTCACAGCTCAGAGAAACCGTACCTCCCTCCTTGGCGTCCATATTTTTTAATTCTTTGTTGAAGACTGGAGTCAGCTCTGTGTAGAAAACAAAGATCAACAACTACGGATTTTAAAACTGATACCAACAAATTCCAATTTATAGACTTGACTTATAGATAGTGATTGAAAAAAAACAACATAAAGACGTCACCTTTTCATTCACCACCTCAACACCGTTGCATTGACATTTCTCTCACCGACCTTTCACTGCCACACTCGCAGTGGTCTCTGCACTTCCTGCTTGGCACGTGTAGGTGCCGCTGTCCTCAGGTTTGACCTCTTCAATGTACAGCTTCAGTAAACAACCATCCTGCCTCATCTTGTGCCTCCTGCTGGCTCTCAGAGGTAGTGCGTTCTTCTTCCACTGCGCTGACAGACCAGGTTTGGACACCTCACAGGACAGAGAGACCGAACCTCCCTCCTCAGTTTCTACACCTTGTAAGTCCCTCTTGAAGAACGGTGGACTCTCTAAGAACACGTCAGTTAATGTGTGATGTATAATTACACACAGTTTAACAGAAACCGATTCTTTAGCATACAGCATCAATGAAATAAAAAAAAAGAACTACAACATTAGCGTTAGCAACGCAGTATTGCACATTTACTCACCTTCCACTGTCACCGTCGCAGAGGTTTCCACACTTCCCACTTGACATGTGTAGGTGCCGCCATCCTCAGGTTTGACCTCCTTAATGTTCAACTGGAGAAGACAGCCATCCTGCTTCATCTCGTACTTCCTGTTTGCTCTCAGCGGTACGTTGTTCTTCTTCCACTGCACTGACACTGCAGGTTTGGACAGTTCACAGCTCAGAGAAACCGTACCTCCCTCCTTGGCGTCCATATTTTTTAATTCTTTGTTGAAGACTGGAGTCAGCTCTGTGTAGAAAACAAAGATCAACAACTTCTGATTTCAAACTGATACCAACAAATTCCAACATATAGACTTGACTTGTAGATAGTGATTGAAAAAACAACATAAAGACGTCACCTTTTACTTCCACACTCGCGGTAGTCTCTACACGTTCTGCTTGACACGTGTAGCTACCGCCGTCTTCAGGTTTGACCTCCTCAACCAGAAGCTCCAGAAGACAACCTTCCTGCTTCATCTTGTACTTCCTGCCAGCTCTGAGTGGGAGTCCGTTCTTTTTCCACTGCACCAATAAACCAGGTTTAGACACCTCACAGGACAGGTGAACTCTACCGCCCTCTACAGCATCACAACTCTCCAAGGTTCTCTTGAAAAATGGAGGGAGCTCTGTGAAACAAGTTTAAAAGAAAAAACATACATTGAGCACTGGACATCTATCATACAGTAGTAAACCAAAACAAGGACAAAGCAGATTCACACACCTTTCACTGACACACTCGCAGTGGTCTCCACACTTCCAGCTTGACAGGTGTAGGTGCCGCTGTCCTCAGGTTTGACCTCCTCAATGCAGAGCTCCAGCAGACAGCCAGTTTGCTTCATCCTGTACTTCCCGCTGTCCTTTAGAGGCAGTCTGTTCTTCTTCCACTGCACTGACAGACCAGGTTTGGACACCTCACAGGACAGAGAGACTGAACCTCCCTCCTCTGCATCTACACGTGATAATGTTTTCTTGAAAAATGGGGGAGGTTCTGTGGAAGTAAGATTTTTATTTTTATAGTTCTTCAAAAATATAAATTTATGTTTCAGTAAAACTTTCCTAATTAAACACAAAAACAGACCTTTGACCACAACGTCCGCCCTGGTCTCTACGTCATCCGCCTGACACGTGTAGCTGCCGCTGTCCTCAGGTTTGACCTCCTTGATGTGCAGCTGGAGGGAGCAGCCATCCCGGACCCTGTCGTACTTACTGTTTGCT